AGCCACTCATCCACCCAAGCAAAAAAAAAGTTCAAAATTTTATGGTGCTGAATGTTGGACATTCAAAGAGAAGCATAATACTAAGTTAAGTGTTGCAGATATGAGGATGCTTAGGTCTACCTCTACCTTTCTTAATATAAGTCAAATCTGAAGACTGTCATTTTATGTGACCAAACCATCTAAGGCGACACTCTAATCTCATCATCCATTGGAGGTACTCCAACATTTTCACGTATATGCACATTTCTTATCCTATCTCTAGGGGTAAAGCCACTCTCCCCACTATGAACAATAGATCCAAGACATCTAAAATGTGTACTTTTATTAATGACTTGATTGCCCAAAGTCACAAACCCCTCACTAGGTCTATTACTACTAAAATTACACTTAATATATTTAATTTTAGATCTAATCAAGCGAAAACCTTCAGACTCTATGATTGACCTCCATAATTCAACTTTACCATCAACTCTCTCTAGTCTTATCAACATGAATAACAACATCAACAAAAAGCATACAACAAGGTACACCCTCTCGCAAATGTCTAGTGAGAACACCCATGACTAAAGCAAAAAGAACATCCATGCTCATTTCGTATCCTATCTCTAGGGGTAAAGCCACTCATCCACCTGAGCACCCCATCTCTGCAACACTTAACTTAGTATTATGCTTCTCTTTTCATGACCAAGATTCAACACCATAAAGCATTGCAGATCTCACCACCATCTTATAGATTTTTCCCTTAAGTTTGAGGGAGACTTTTCTATCACACAATAAGTCTGATTCATTGCTCAATTTCAACCATCCAACTTGAATTATATTGATAATATCCCCTACTATTTCACCATCACTCTGAACAATAGATCCAAGATATCTAAAACATGTACTTTTATTAATGACTTGATCACCCAAAGTCACAAACCCCTTACTAGGTCTATTACTAATAAAATTACACTTCATGTTTTTAGTTTTAGATCTACTCAAGAGAAACCTTTTAGACTATATGATTGACCTCCATAATTCAAGTTTACCCTAAACTCCCTCTCTAATCTTATCAACAAGAAGAATATCATCAACAAAAATCATACAACGAGTTAAATCCTCTCTCGAATGTACGTAGTGAGAACATGCATGACTAAAGCAAAAAGATATTGGCTTAAGGCTTACCCTAAATTCCCTCTCTAATCTTATCAACAAGAAGAATATCCACTACGGGAAAACACGCGATTACCGTCGGATTATCAACAAGATTTGCGCCGAAAATAATTTATCGACGCGACCAAAACCGACGTACGGATTTCCGCCGAAACGTGCGCCGGAAACTTATATTTCCGTCGGAATATCTATGTTTTCCGGCGGATTTCGTCCGCCGGTAATATGCAGTTTTCCTGTAGTGATCATCAACAAAAAGCATACAACAAGCTAAATCCTCTCTCGAATGTCTAGTAATCTAATCGTAATAACAAAATGCATCAAAAAATTTTTAAAAATGCAAACCTTGGAGGCAGCCATTGCGCACGGGAGTGGGGAGATCCTTCGGCCTTGCAGTGGGGGCGAGATCTTCCTTTGGAGGAACTTTTTGGCGGCTATAGCAGGCATCTCGTTCGCGAGAGGACAAAGGAGACGGGGGTGAGCGGCACGCAGGAGAGACATAGATCAGGAAAGGAAATGAAATGGAAGGCTCGAGACGAAATATTTTAGGGCATTTTTCGGTGGCTATCTGGCGGTCCTGGCCGCAAAAAAAAAGTTCACTTAACACCGGCGATTTTAGCCGTCGGTAACGCGCCGGTAAGATTTAATGCCGGCTGTTTAGCTGGCAGTTTTGTGACTAACGCTTATTCTAGTGGCATTAACTTACATAACCGCCGGTACAAACCGGCGGCTAAACCGCAGGTAAAAACCGGCGGCTAAACCGCAGGTTTAACTATCGTTATTACCAACGGCGTCATAACCACCAGTCTAGACTGCCGATAATCGTTGAATTTCCTGTAGTGGATCGGTTTTGACAACCTTACGTATTTTAGTGCGTCACGCCATATCGCCACTATCCATTGCCACAGTGCTGTATGTTGAATTTATAATTATTATAGAATAGAGCATTCAATGCCGTGGTGGCAACTTCTAGCGCCGCTGCACTCATAGGTCTAACGCCGTAGCGTTAACAAGCTCAGTGATGTAGCACTCCATTTCAAACATAATTTGATATTCTCATTTTTTTCCAGAATTTTTATTGTTGTTACAGCTACACCATCCCAAATGGATCATGATACTATTTTAGCTTTTAAAAGCTTCTTTATTAGTTATAATTTTAAAAATATTTTTTCAAAATGGTTTTTTAAAGACAATATTTTAAAGTGGCAGTGAAAAAGCTATTTTTAAACACATTATTTTTTTTCAACTTCTTTCATGTCCATAAAGTAGGGCTACAAACAAACCGAGTCGATTATGTGAGTGTTCATGTTTGAGTTTATTTATTATTAACTTGTTCAAGTTTGGTTCGTGTTTGATTCAAGATTTATTGTTTGTGTTCATGTTTGGTTCATTTAAATTAATGGTGTTCATGCTTGGTTCATGTTCGATTCGTTTAGAGCTTATCAATCTTTAAACAAACAAGCCTTAACGAGCTATTTTCATGAACATATTTAGTGAATTTTTTTACACTATCAAACAAGCACGTTCATGAACAAATATAATGAGTATTCTTGAGCTATTAAATTAGCAAGATCATTAATATATACATAACTAGTATTTTCGAGCTACCAAATGAGCTCGTTCACGAATAACGATCTATGATTCTTCTTATATTTGTTCATGAGCATCTTAAACAAACAATCTAGCAAACATTGACAAATGTGAAATGTCTCTTGTCATGAACAAATTCATTCTATTAATGGTATAAAATAAAATGAAATTAAATTTATAATAAAAGCAATTGTCTATTTAAAAAGAAAATATGATTAATCTATATGAATATATTTTTACCAAACTTATTTACGAGTTCTAAATCGAATATGAATCGAGCTTCTTATCAAACTTAATGTTGAGCTTATTCATGAGCTTCAAATGATGTTGTTCGTGAATATAAATGAACCGAACACAATAGTGTTCAAGATTGTTTATTTAAGGATCGAGTATTAAAAATGTTGTTTATATTTGCTTGTTTAGTTAGTTAAACGATCACAAACGAGCTTTAATCAAACAGAGCAACGAGTAGCTCATCGTAAGTTTGGTTTGCTTGCAGCCCTACATAAAAGCATTCAAAAAGCTATATCAAACAAAACCTAAATTGAAAAATAAGTTTATGTTTAATCAAGATCAAGTTTGCATGTCTAGTCTCATTGAAACTAAAAAATATATTTTAATGCTTGAGGGCTGAAAGAATATCCAAATCTCTAGTTAATTGAGACAAAAATACTAAATATTTTTATAAATAATGAAAATACTAAATATTTTCATAATATAATGAATAAAAAGAGGTCTAATAATCGCATTCTTAGATCTTGACTTCTAATGGTGATTAGTTAGAAGCAGTTGACATTTATGCTTCTGCCATTTTTTATGTTTGACTTCTTATTATCTTACTCCTCTCTAAAATGCTCATTGGAGTCCTAATTTTATCTAAGAAGAAGAAACATTTATGGTATCTATGTCTTCTTCCTTGGAAGAAATTCATAATATTGTGATGGGCATGACTATTGATACTATTCTAATTTTTTTCAATCTTATTGGGATATTATCAAAATTGATGTTAACGAGCCCATTGATGATATTTGTAAGGGTAAAAAAAATTATATTTTATTGGTAGTACCTCTATTTTCTAAATTCCGAAGATAAGTAAACTCAAAGTGGTTATTGACTTATAAGTTTTGAATATTTTCTAACAAAATCAATTCAAAAATCTCGGCATCAAATGTTTATTTGATTTTTCCTAAGATTATTTCAAAAAATAAGACTAATTTAGTTTTATTAAAGCAAGATCTATGTCAAATAATATATTATATATTAGCCCTAAAGTTGATTCATGATATGGATTTAAGAATTCATAGTCATAATGTTTGTTATAAACTTAATATTTCTTGTAATTATGATCATTTAGAATGCCATTTTTTATGTACAACAACAACAATAAGAAGCCTTTATCCACTATGTTGATTGATTTTACTTTATTTTGTTATAATTATAATATTGTAATTATATTTAATGTTAAAAGACTTTCCTTTCAAAATTTGATGATTTATTTAGAATATTTGGGTAATATGATTTAATGAGTCATTCCATTTAATATAATTATTGAAGTAATATTAGTGGTTGATTCTACTCAATATTCTAATGCTTTCTATTGTGTTTGTATGTTGATCATGTTTAATCTTAAAGATCCAATTGATGTAAATACCTATTGTAATATATTGTTGAAATTTGGTTCGAACAACATTCAAATCCTAATTAAATCAAATTCAAATATTGTGCATATTGAGCCCTATTCGAATATGGCTCAACATGGTTGGAGCCAGGTTCAAACAAGATTCGAATACTTTGAATTATGTTCAAATTTTGTTTGAACCCAATTCAAACATGATTAAAAGCTTGGTCCGATCTGATATTAGTCAAATCTTATGTTCGAACGTGATTTGAAATTTATTCAGAAGTGCAAATCACAATAATTATGATTTATGATTCATAAAAGAAAATTTTTTTCTTTTTAAATTATTATATGATATTTAAATTTAAAAAATTTTACAAAATTTTTTGAGAGATTCATATACATATCATATACTTCTTATATATTTATTTATAGATATACAACCTAAATTAATATTTATTTGTATAATCTTAAATTTTAAATCATAAAAAAACATTAATATTATTTTTTATAATTAAAAATTTTTATTTATAAATTTAATATCATGAAAATATTAAAATAGTATATATCTAAATATTATAATTTAGATGTTAATTATGTTAAGAAAAAAGAATTTTATAAATGCCTATAATTCCCTTAAAGATTCGGTCATTAATGCCGCGAAGGATAAAAGTTGCAGAGAGTGGAAAGCAATCTTCGAAGTATCCTGTTCTGTCTTGGATTTTCTGTATTTCAACTTGAAACCGATTCGGCTGCTGCACTCAAGCTAGGGTTTCATATCGGCTACCGAGATACCGGCGCTAGGGCATCCCTTTGTATGCTGTTTTAGGGCAACAATGGCGTCTGCGTTACCGGGGCCAGTTAGCGCGGTTCAGGTAATTGTAGTAAGAAGGTCAAAGAAAAGGGGGGGATGAATCTTTCCTTGTGTTTTGATTTTTTTATTTTTTTATTTTTAACAAGCCATATTTTTTCTACTTGGATTTTCAGGTTGGTTCTTACTTTTTGGGGCAGTACTATCATTTTCTGCAGCGAAATCCGAATCTGGCTCACCAGTTCTATACAGAAGCAAGCACGATGATACGGTATGATGGAGTCACGAATGAGAGTGCTTCTGGGATGGCGGTAAGTTGCTCTTGTCTGGGTTCTCTGTTTTGATTGATGTTGCTTGAATTATTTGTTGGATTTGTTTAGGAACCATTACGGGGTCTTTTGACCGCATGCAATCAATTTCTCTGCGTTGAGGTGTGTTTAGTTTGTTTAAGTGTATGCAAACCTTGTTCTTTTGTTGGGGGGCGGGGGTGGCGGGAGTGGAAGTATCTTGGAGGTGGCGTTTTTGTAAATACTTTAAACAACTAAGCAAACGAAGTAAGAAAAAAACATTGTATTTTGAAAGCAGTTGGAAAGGGTAAGGGGAACTTGAAATATACTAATTGCTGCATGAGATCAATTACTTACCCTGCCGCGAATTATTTTCGGTGAGGGAGAGGCCTTGGTTGAACATCATTCTCATAATTGCGTTAGATGCGACTTCAAATGAGTATCCAACTTTCAATGTGGGATAGGCGTCGATATGGGTTTTTGCTTTGGTAGGGCTATGCATTGGATGAGATTTCTTGCTGGGATGCAACTTTTAATAAGAGTGAGGTGTTGGATGCAGCTTCTTGCTTCGGTAAGGGCAAGGCATTGGATATTTCTTACAATGAGGGCGAGGCATTTGATCACTTATGCTTTTTATTAATAAAATTTGTAATATAAATATATATTATAATACAACTCTTAAAAAGAAGAAGATTATATTTTGATTTTTTTTGTAAAGTGGATATTAATACTTTATATTCTTTTGTTGATTTTGTCATATAAGATTCAATGATGCTTAGGTCTTTTGTTTTTTCACTTCTAACAAAATATGAAACATTGCATTCAAACAAATTTTGAGTTAGAAATATCAGGTGAGTTATAGGTCTACCAAGCAAAAATCGGTTTTAAACAAAAGTTTATCGCGGTAGTTTTTTCAACAGTAACTTTAACTTGACTTTTCAAATAGGAACAATTAAATTGAATGAAGCCTAAGAGTTACTTTTGATGCATAATTTTAGTTATTTCATCACCGCAGTGGGTTACTTGTTGTTTTTTGAAGTGTGCATTGAACTATTGACTTGCATGCATTTTTGTAGCAATGCAATGATTCAGTTATGCCTCTCCTTTTTGCCTTTTCTTAATAAATTGTGTAGACAAATGATGCATGGCGTCTTAGCATCTAGAGTTCACTAATGTTATCTTTGGATGATATGCATATAGAAATGTACAAAAAATTACAATTCGAAGTTTTTCAACTTTAATTTAGACAAAATTTAGTCTTTTTTTGATGCAAAATTTGAAAGAAAAAAACTTCATTCAAAAAATTGTGTAGTGATTAAAATTAAAAAAAAATGGAAATCAGTATGTAATGTATATGGAAAAAATTCAATTACATGTACAAACTAAACACTAAACAATTGTGAACAAAGAGATAAAATAGAATCATCAAATGGGGAATCACCCCTTGTATGATGTCAAGACTTGCTAAGCGCTAAATGAATGGACATTGCACAACACAAGAATTGAAAGGAACCATAAATTTTATTCAACTATTCATTGATTTTACATTTTTAAGGGTTTTATTGATAACCCAAAAAAATCAAAATAAGAAACCTCTCAACATCCTTCAACTCTATCATAATGCTACAAGTTTTAATTTTTCATGCTTGAATTCCAATAATAAAAGCAAGTACCCAGCTCTAGTTTTAGAAAAATGGTAAGTTTTGACTTTTAAAATATCATCTTGCATGTTGCAACAATTTTTGGTCCTTGCCGCAGTGCAATCTGAAATACCTTAATCACCGCTAAAATGCCAAAAATTGAAACCAAGTAGACTAATGCAGCTATATAGCCATAGAAGGAAACCAATCAACCAAAAATAGATAAACCAATCAATGAATACAGTTATAGCGCCAAAGCTAGAAAACAGATTGCCAAATCATTGCTACAGTGACTTGCTGCAAGGGAAATTGATAGATCCTTATAAGGAAAAAATCTTACACAGTCCAGTGGCTTGCTGCAAAGGTAAATCGATAGAAACTTTTAAGGGGAAAATCCAACGCAAAGATTGCTACAGCGACTTGCTGCAGGGAAACTATCAACAAAGAAGTTCCAATGACAATAAAAACCTGTCAAATCAGTAGGCAGAACTTCTAACTTTGTGGATGGACAAAATCGTGAACTAGTTGCATGCTAAAACATGGAATTGGACACACTGAAATAAGTTGTCTAATAGCTGAATTGAGACAACTTGCCATATTAAAAATAAGCTTAATGAGGTAATAAAAATACTAGAGAACACATCATCATCATATTCATATTAAAAAAAACAAAGGCATAATGAACTAAAATAAAATTAATGCACATGATTTTTATTTCCAATGAATAAAGACTTAGATTTGCATGAACAAGTTTATGGTGACATTTCAATTCCAACTTCACCGTTGTTCTTCTTGATTCTGATGCATATATTTCTTTGGTTCTGATAGGTCAACTCCAAAAATGTAATGATACGATGACTTTTTTTAATCATAACTTTTGATACAATTATTCACAAAATGTTGAGTCAATTTTGTGATCAATTATGCAATAGTTATGGGTATAACTGTTTATTCTTGATTAGAACATGTATTCCAAATACTGGAACTGATCTTTACTAGAGTTTTGAAATAATATGCTGCACTTGTGATGTCTCTTTTTTTGATAGACTATTCTTGTTTGAATTTAGTTTCAGATATCTTATTTTTTCCAAAAAAAATTATGCTTTCCCTGGTAGGTTTCTTGCAATATTTATTTATCCATTGTTTATAAGGTCCCCTTTTTAATGCCGAAAACCAATTGTCATGCACCTTACATGTGATTGAAAAATTGAAACATGTTTTATTTTTTATTTTAAATAGCCTAGGTCAGAGAAAGGCTTTCACTTGCACAAATCCAATTGAAAAACATTAGTTTTATATCACAGATGATACTACTAATGCTTATTGTTTCTGTGAGCAAAAATGTTACACACCAAGCTGCAAATCAACATGTATATTTTAAACCTCTACGTTTCATTTCCTTTAGTGTATCTACATTATAATTGCTATTCACATATTGTACGCGAAGGAGCCCATTTTTTAAGTTATTATGGGTTTGAAAATACTTTCGATTGATATACACTACAGGAAATTCGGACATTACCGTTGGTTTTTTTCTGCAGTTTTGTAAAAAACCGACGGCTTTTCGGTAAAAACCGCTTAGGAAACGATTTTCGGCGGCCTATTTCTAGCGGTTTTAATCACCAGTGGCTTTCCGGCGGCAGAGACGACCGGTAATTTCTGGCGGTCACAATGCCGGTGATCGTCGGTTAGTTATCAGTGGCGTACCGGCTGTCAAAACCGCCGGTGTTACCGGCGGCCAAACCGTCGGATCATCGCCGGTTGAACGCCGACAACTGCCGGTTAATCACCGGTGGCTTACCGGCTATCAGAACCGCAGGAATTACCGGCGGCTAAACCATCAGATTATGGCTAGATAACCGTCGGCAATCATCGGTAAACTGTCGGTAATTACCGGCGGCTTTAGTGAACTTCAGACGACTATAAGTAGCCATCAGGTATCGACGTTTCCGGTGACCAAATTGTCGGTAGGCCGCCGGAAACCTGTAGCATTTGAAAAAAAAATTGACATCCTCTTTATATTTACTGAATTTTACCATAAATTCTAAGCCTGTACAAAATATACAATAATTATCACAAATATGGGTAACACGCCACTATAATTAATAACAACTATTATAAATTCTATAATATTCATCAAAACAAATAAACTCATCAAAACAAATAAATTCATCAAAATAAATAAACAAATAAAGTCATCACTTTCACACAACAAGTTATTCAAACCAAATGTTTAAACCAAATAAGCTCTCACATAAGTTCATCATCAGTTTATCAAATAAATAAGAGTACTAATCATCATCCGTGTCCTCGTTGTCTGGTGATGCATGTGGCTGCTGTTGCTCTTTCTTCTTTTGATTTTCATCTCTATAGGATCGCAGTTCTGTCTGCATCTCATTTTGAACCTTTCTCATCTCTTCTATCTCTCTCGTCAGCACTGCAACCCTCAGGCTTACACTTTCTTCAGCTCCACACTAGGATCATAAAATGCTGAGGTGGATGAACCGCCCTCATAAGCATGGCCTTACGAACCCAAGCCATATACCTTTCCCTTCTGCCTTCCTCAAACAACATCTAACCATATATGATACTCAGAATACTGGATCGATCCTGAAGATGATCTCTCACCAGTAGATTGACGACTTTCCTGAGCTCGTACAAAATCATCCTGCGAGAATAAATCAATAAAATATATTGATATTAGAATGATTTTTAATATATTAAATTTATATTTTCAAACTCTAAAATATTATACTCACATGAAATTTTTTAGCCTTTTCATCAACCCACTGATGGTCATCTTGATGTTGGTGAGTTCTCATATGCAACTCCAGTGGTGTCGGTTTCCGACCAAGAAACTCTTTCTAAAAATAGAATATATATTTAAAATTATATATATATATATATATATATATATTAAACTAAAATGAGTTAAAAATATAGGCATAATAAAAAAAATTAATACAAATTAAATCAAATATTTTAATTTATGCCAAATAAGCATACTTGAAATTATCTAAAACACATATCCCTAATTTTCTTTGGGATATTCTTCCATGATAAGTAACGAGCATCATATTTGCTCCTTATGATATCCCGGATCTTGTGGGTAGGTGGCCTTGAAGGATTGAAGCTACAGGTTAAATTTTTTATTAATAACATATAATATATCAAATTATAATAAACTTAACAAAATAAATTGAACTTACGTATCGTTATCAGGCTCAATATATTGATGCTTATTTGCTATAGCTGCAGGATCCCCAGCACCAATCTCTGATGGTATAGATGGTCCACCGTATTCTGGCTGCACTGGATATGGGTAATAATATGGGTTGGGGGGGTAAGGAGGGTAAGGGATGGTTGATGGACCAGTTTGTGATG